GGGTTATACTCCAGGAGTCCCGTGGGTATCTGGGGTTCTGGGCAGGAGATGTGGCAATGCCCTTGCTCACTCTAGTTACACTGCACTCACTTGGCAAACGCCAGCCCTGGTAAGACCCAACTCTCCACCCACCACACACCGACATCTGCACATCTGAAACTTGGCTACAGAAAACCATGCCACCGTGCTGGCTGGCCTCATTGAAATGCATGCCCAGAATCTCGGGTGGAGGGTGGGGGCATCGCACCATGCTTTCCAGGCCGTTCACTCTCTCACTGCCCAGATGGCCAGTCCCAGCAGCAACTCGCCTGGCTTCACTCTCAACCAACTCCTTTCTCTGTCCCCAAGTATGCGGAAGAGCTACCGCCCCGACACGATTCCAACACCTATGTACTTCCCACTTCATTCCTGCCCACTTCCTTCCGCCCTGTCACGGAGGATGAAATACACATGGTGCCCAGCCCCAGTCTGCTGCTCCAGCGCATCCCTCCAAACACTCTTCTCTCCCACATGAGCCGTCCCCCTCTCCCAGCCCCATCTCCCTGGATCACTGCATCAGCACAGAAACACGGGGGACCTTTCCCATATTAAACAGAATCTAAAAGCCCTCTCGTAATGGTATTTCCCCTCTATTCCACTTCACCCAATGAGCGTCCTAGGAAGGGTTTGCTTAGAGGCTATCTCCAGCATCGCCCTCTGTTTGCCCTTCAAGTCTTCGCTGTGATGTTACCTCCTCAGTGAGACCTTCCCTGACATTATATTTAAAACAGCACCCTCCTGTCCTGGCCAGTTTGCTCAGTGGTTAGAGCGTCCGCCTGCGGTCCAGAGAGACCCGGGTTCGGTTCCTGCTAAGGGCATGTACCTCGTTTGCAGTTTGTCCCCAGCCCTGGTTAGTCTTGTGGGTGGCAGCCACTCGATGTGTCCCTTTCACATCAATGTTTCTCTCTCTCTCCCTCCCACTCTATCTGAACAAAAACATGGAAAAATATCCTTGGGTGAGGATAAAAAAACAAACAATAGAACGGCGCCCTCCTGATGTTCCACCTGGCTTCCTTTTCTCCATGATCTCATCGCGCTCTAATACATGCTATGAGGCATGCATCTATTTTTTATTCTTCAACACCCCCTCCCCCTTAATGTAAGTCCAATAGGACCAAAAAGTCTGTGTATTTTGTTCACTGTCATATCCCCAGCTCCAGGAAAAGGGTCCAGGGCATCCTAGGTGTCCAGTAACATTTGTTCAGTGAGTGAATGAATGCATTTAAGGACAAGGGCCAGGAGCAGCAAGGAAGTCAGTGTGGCTGGGGCGGGGATCGAGGGAAATGAGGGGGTTGCAGTAGGAAGAGGCCAGATCACAGAGGGTCAAGGGGAGGGTCTTACTGTAAGTGGGACTCCAGAAAGTGTTAGAGAACGGAGGGTTTGGAGCTGGGACGGACATGGTCCGGTCGATGTTACTGAGATTCTGGGCATGACAAGTTGAAAGTTCCACATGTCATGAGTATGTTCACAGGCAGGCAATTTTTATATGTGTGTGCTCATGAAAATAGATTGACTAAACGAAAGCTGTGTGTTGATAACGGGTCCTGTTATATAGGCCGGGCCACCGGGAATGAGCCTGGCCCAGGAGTGGCTTTACTGGTAACACAGAAGACTCATTCAACAAAACAAAATATTATCCGTAAGCACAATACCCCCCATGTTCTGCCTGTGTATTGATAAAATATTTAGCTTTTCAGATCCCTTTTTAAACTGGTGTGCAAGTTCTAACACATAGTTTGAGATATTAATCAACAGATGTCTCCAAGCACACAGAACAGACAAAACTGGTCTATACATATTAAATAATCACGGCTGTGATCCTAAATGTTGGGCACAGAATCTGAAGGCATCTCTGCCCTTAAGAACTGAATACCGCAGTGAAACATCCAGTGGCCCAGTAGCCATCTCTAGCATCACTAAGTCCCCTTTCACAGCCGTGTATTGTGCGTTTTGATGCTCACCGGATGCCATTTTTATAAGCTGTTTTGTAAAGGTGTAAGGTGCTCCACTGACTAAGGGGAGGAGCCAGTTTGGTCAGGACATATGTGGATTGTGAGTTCAGGTGTATGTGTTTATTGGTGGAGATGCTGTAGCTGCTTCTAGACCTGAGTGGGCGTGGGGTGTAGTAGAGTCCACAGCTTCTGAGCACTCCAGGCAAGCCAAGATGGGCGTGGGGCGCAGGAGGGGGCCAGAAAGTATGGGCCTAGGCAGCTGCCCAGCTCGGATGAAAAGGGAAGACTGATGTGCAAGAGGCCCTGGCTGGAGTCTGTGGCTCTTGCACCGGGTTCCCAGCTGTCAGCACTGACCACCCAGGGAGCTGGGCCTGGGCTTGTAGACTTTGCACCAGGATGGCCTTCTGTTCCCAGTGCTTCGTCAGTTACATCCCCCAAATTCAGGGGTCAGGCAAAGGCGGCCACAGCCTTCCAGTCTGATAGATGTCCTCACGCCTGTGTGCACACGGGTCACTGCCACAGTGCTCTGAGGAAGCGTGGGACTCGAGACTCTAACTGGTGGTTCCCAAGCGTGGCTCCTGAGCAGCAGCAGCAGCGTCACTGGACGCTTGTTAGGGATGCAGATGCTTAGGCCCTACCTAGAGCTGCTGAGTCGGAAACTCCGGGCGCAGGTCCCAGCACCCAGTGTTTTAACATGCTCTTTAATGAATTCTAATGCATTTGGAAACCGCTGACCTAGACCAGTTCAGATGATGCTGATGCTGCTGGTCCCAGGACCTACTTTGAGAACCACTACTCCAGAAATTTCATAAGCAAATTACTCAGTTTATGAGTAATCCTGTTATTAATTAACAAGTATTACTGAATACCTAAGGGTATAATAATGTTTAATAGCGATTACCTCTGAACAAGGGGATTGTGGGCAACTTTTAAAAAAGTGTATGTGTCTCTGTTGTTCAAAGCTGTTACCATAAACATGTATTACATTTGTAGATAGAAAAATTAAAAGATTTGAAAAGTAAAAATACCGTATTTTGGTATACTTTACAGCAGTGCTTCTCAAACTTTGTTGCACAAATAAACCACTCAGCCTCTAGAAAGAGGTGAGTTCAGCAGAGAAGGGAAGGACGAGCCACTGAGAAGTTCAAGGTCAGGCCTGGGCACAACAGGAAGCCCCTGCAGCTAGCGCACAGGGTGGGAACCCCCCAGAGCAGTTCCAGGGGGCCAGTGCAGGAAGGCCGTGGTAGGGGACCAATTTCAATCTAAGCCAGGGTCAGCATGGAGGGTGTGGACAAAAAAGGGGGTCTACGGAAAGTAACCTCAAAAGGTGATCTGATCATCAAGTCTCAACTAGGCAGGTGGTGGTGGGTAGTCATGCACCAAGCATATAACTTCTTCAGTAAAAGGCTTATCTTTGCCACAAGCAAGCCCTGTCCATAGTTTCTGTGCTTCCAGGTTAACACACCTTTGAAAGGCCTCTTCTCAGACCCGCCTTCTAACATGTGACCTCCCTTTTCAGACCAGACCCCTCCTAAATAGAGGTCCCCCTGAAGAGAGCGCAAGCTTGTAACTGTCCTGTAACTCCATCCCCACCTCATCCTCGCCTTCGTGTAGTCTTCCTTGGGTTCCCTCCTGAATTCCACAGGCATAAAAGAAGCTGCCAACTGTCATTTTCTTGGAAGCCTTTATCTCCGTCTGTTAAAATCCTGCTTCCAGGCATATCCTGTTTGGCTCAAATACATTTTTATAAAAACTCTCCACAGGTTTGGACGTTGTTGGTTGACAGGGTTTAAGCAGGAAAGGGACTGGTTTGTGTTTGCCTTAGGATCACTAACTGTGGGTTGTCCTGTAGGACATGAAACCTCCCCTCACCTCGGAGTTGGTGCAGGGCCCCCCCCCCCAGGGTGCAGGGACACCCCCCCGCCCCCCAGGGTGCAGGGACACCCCTCCCCCCATGCCCAGGTGCTCAGGAGTCTCGAACCCTCACGGATCTACTGGGGGGGGGGGGATGCCCGTGTGAATAGGAGGCACCGGGGCGCGTTTGTTTTGCTGCCCCGAGGGCCTCACCCCTGCAGGCTCCGGGGACAACGTGACTTTCCCCCTCTCAGAGGACGTGGGTCCCCGTCCACGCTCTGCCGGTTACCACGGCATCTTGGACACGTTCCCCTCCGTCTCCCCACCCGTCGAAGAGGATGTCGGCCCGCTACGGGGGACGCCCACGGGGGACACCGCGGGCCCACTCGTGCCCCCAGGGCAGGCCGAGAGGGGTCCGAGCCGCGCTGGTCTCTGACGCTGGGCCGCCGAGGCCGGGTGGGGAGCGTGGCCTTCGGGACGCCCGCAGACTAGGCGGCGCGTCTCGGCCACGCGGGCTGCCCAGGCCGCCCGCCAGCGGCCTCCGCGCACCGGCCCGGCCCGGCCGGGACAGGGCGGAACCGGCCCCGCGGGGGGCGGGGGCGGCGGCAGGGGGCGATCCCGCAATCCTGACGCCCGAGCGCGGACCGAAGCGCGGGGCGCACCCAGGGGCTCCCCAGCCCGGGCGGGACCGGCGGGGACCGGCCCAGAGCCACGCTGCCGGATGCAGACCCGCCCGGACGCCCGCCCCCCGCGCCCCGCCCCGCCCCGCCCCCCGGCCGCGCCCCCGCCCCCCGGCCGCCCCCGCCCCCGCCCCCGCCTCCTCGCAGGCCCGGGACGTGCCCGGCTGGCGACCGAGCGGCGGGCACGGCGTCCGGCGCGCTCACTTCCGCGTCCCGCTGCCTGCGGCCCGCGCGCGTCCAGCGGCCGCCGCTCCCGGACAATAGGCCGCCCGCCCCGGCCCCGTGAACTTCCTGCCGCGGCCGGGCCGCCCGTGCGCCGGGGCGCGCTCCTCCTCGGCGCGGCCGGGACCTCGGCGCGGCGGCCACGAGGGTAAGCCCCGGGACGGGACCGGACCGCGCCCGGCCGAGCCTGCGCCGCCGCCCGGCCCGCCGCCCGCGCCTCTCCGAGTTGGGTGCTTAAGGAGGGTGTGTATTTTCTTTCTTTCTGTTCTTTTTCCTTTTATGATTTGAAGAAGAGAAAACGCGCAGTAAGCGGGGACAGGGCAGCGCCACCAGCTGCCCGCACGTGGACACTTCCCAGGGGGAGAGAAGTTGGAAGAGAACTTGGTCCATCTGGCTTGAGGCCTCACCTTGGGCTGGACTCTGAGGCCTGGGGTCATGACTCTCACTCTGGGCAGGTGGAAAGTTTTACTTGTTCTGGGCTGGACTTGAGCCCCCCATTATTGGCCAGCATCACCCCCCCGCCCCTCAAACACTCGTACACACTACGCGGCACCTGGCCTGGGCCTCCACACCCCTCTGCGGCATGGATAAGTACGACCACCTGGGCCTGGAGGCCAGTAAGTTCATCGAGGACCTGAACATGTATGAGGCTTCCAAGGACGGACTCTTCCGCGTGGACAAGGGTGCAGGCAACAACCCGGAGTTTGAGGAAACACGCCGGGTGTTTGCCACCAAGATGGCCAAAATCCACCTGCAGCAGCAGCAGCAGCTCTTGCAAGAGGAGACTTTGCCTAGGGTTAGCCGAGGTCCTGTCAATGGAGGGGGCCGCCCAGGCCCACAGGCCCATCGGGAAGCTGGTGCGGGCAGCAAGCTGACCATGGACGGTGCCGCCAAGCCCCCTCTGGCTGCCTCGACCATAGTTCCTGGGACAGCCACCACCATTGCTGCTGGGCAGCCCTTGTGTCCACCCCAGGAGCTGAAGGCCAGGCCGTATGTCCGTGGCACAAGGCCTGGTAGCCAGGACTGTGGCTCCAAGGAGAGCCCAGCCAGTTCGGAGGTGTCTGCTTTCCATGGGCTGAGCCCCTGCGAGGATCCTTCCTGCCTCACCCATGGAGACTATTATGACAACCTCTCCTTGGCAAGCCCAAAGTGGGGTGAAGAACCAGGAGTGCCTTCCAGCATCAGGCTGGGTGTAGGGAGTGGGTGGCCTGGCACCCCAGGCGGTGATCCTTCACCGCCCAAACCCTCCAGGGACCCTCACCTCTACCAGCCGAAGCCCTCTCCAAGCTCCAGCAGGTCCTTCGAGAGTGGCCAGGATGGGGGTGTTGATGGCCGCAGCAGTGAGAAGCCAGCGGGTCTTTGGACCACTGCCTCCTCCCAGTGGGTGAGCCCTGGCCTTTCCTCCCCAGGCCGGGAGAATGGGGCCCTCCTGGGGCCCGCTCCGCCCAGGACCCCTTTCTCAGCACCGCTGGCCCTGAGCTGCCCCAGTCAAGGACCTCTTCCAAGAACAAACTCGGGGGTGGGGAGTGAGGTTTCAGGCGTGATGCCCAAACCAAGTGTGCACCCTCAGCCCTGGTTCCAGGATGGGCCCAAATCTTACCTTTCTAGTTCTGGGCCATCATCTTTGCCAGCCAGCATGGACAGTTTGCAGCTGGAGGCAGCCCCTGGGCTGGGTCCCAAGCCTGGCTGCACAGACCCTGGCATTGGTCCCAAGCTCAGCCCCACCAGCCGTGTCCATCCAGTGATGTCCACCCCGCTTGAGTTATCTTGTAAAGAAGGTCCCCCTGGCTGGTCTTCTGAGGGCAGCCTGGGGTCTGTGCTCCCAGAGAGCCCCAGCTCCCACAGAGTGAGGCTGCCGTGTCAAACCCTCATCCCGGGCTCTGAGCTTGGGCCCTCGGCTGCCGAATTGAAATTAGAAGCCCTCACCCAACGTCTGGAGCGTGAGATGGATGCTCATCCGAAGGCTGATTACTTTGGTGAGTGCGATGCGGGTGGAGTTGCCCACAGTGGGGATGGGGTTGCCACTAGGGATGCTGTAGCTCTCCTTGAGCGGGCTGTCTTTTTTTTTTTTTTTTTTTTGCTTCCTCTTTCAGCTGCTACTTCTGATTCAGAAACTTGAAAGCATCCCTGGGCGGAAAGCGGATCTTGCAGCTGGGGGTTACCCATGTGCGAAGGGTGAAGCAGGGTGGGATTACTCATGACTGCTTTCAAAAAAGGGAAACGCTGTGACTTTGGTTTTCAAGGGTTTCAGAGCCTTAGAGCCTCTCCGGTGACTGGCTCGTTCAGGGCTGAATGGGAGCACTTTCTCAGGTCCCCGCGCCCAGGTCTCAGTAGTTGGCTGGGCCAGCATGTCTGGCTGTTTGAGGACCAGTGGTCAGGCCGGGGTCTGTAAGGCCCTGTGTGTGTGTCTGCAGGTACTGTGTGTAGTTGAGGAAGGTGTCACATGAAGATGAAAGAATTTGTTCTAGAGCAGCGGTTCTCAATCTCTGTCCTTCCCCAGGGACCTGGTTAGAAATGCAAATTATAGGGCCCCACCCCAGACCTTCTGCATCAGAAATTGGAGTGGACCCGGCGTTCAGCATTTTCAAAAGCCAGCTGAGTGACCCTGACTTTCGGGGAAATTTGAGACCCGTGGACGAGGTGCCTCCTGACTCAGCCCCTATTCCCACTCCGGGCCCAGCCCGCAGGCAGATTGCTGACGATGGGATGGAAGATGCTCCTTTCTGGTTTTGCTCATACTTGCTGGTTTTGTTTTATTCTGTTTGAAAACCGCAGACTCTTGGAGACTGCTGGCTTCAGCCTTTTCGCTCCGTGCAGGGCCTGGAGGCAGCGGGACAGCAGCTGCCGCATCGGGGGCAGTGATGTGGCCGTCTCTCGGGAGACCTAACCGAAAGACAGCCTATTTTTAGAAGAGTCTGAGGGTTTTTTTTGTTTGTTTTTGTGTTTGTTTTTGAACTCTGAATTCTTGGGGTCACAGTTTCTCCCCATGAGGCCTGAGAGCCCTGGGAAGCCAAGTCCCACTGGAGTGACCGCCCCGCCAGTGGAGGAGAGCAGGGGCAGGGAGGCCCGGGGGACGAGGTTGGCTTGCTGTGTCCAGTCTGCCCTCTTCAGGAATGGACGCTCTGTCCCCAGGTGCGCGGCAGGTCCCCGGCTCCCGGGGTGGTGCTGCGTTCTTGCACGTCCTGGGAGCTTCAGGGTGACCGCTGTCACACCACACCGGGCAGTCAGAGGTCAGGGAGATGTTTGTTGGTTTATGTTTTTGCGCACGTAGCATTGTTTTGCTGAGAACTGTCTCTTCTGCGAAAATTCCCCCCTTTGGGAATAGTGCTTAGCTGGCAATATTGTGGGTTTTTAAATTTAGACTTTTGTTTAATTTTTTATTTCAAGCTCATTAAACAACAACAACACAACAGTTCTCTTTTTTCAGGGAGGCATGTTGAACTCTGGATCAGAGCGGAGATACTAGCTGATGCCATTCATTCACTCAGCACACACTTACTGCCTCTCCCCTGGGGTACCGAGTGAACGGGACAGGCAGAAACTGCCTCCTCGAGCAGACAGTGCAGTAGGAGACGGGAGATGGACAGAATAAATAAGCCAGTTTCGGGGAGAGAAGGAGGCAGAGGAGAGGATGGTGCCACAGGTGAGGGAGGGTTCCCGTTTTAAATCAGGTGATCACAGAAGGTCGCGTCTCGAAGGGGGCATTTGAGCAGAGACTTGAAGGAGGCGGGAGTGGACCAGGCATCTGCCCAGGGAAAGGGCATACTCAGCAGGGCAGACAGCAAGATTAGAGGCCCTGGGGCCTGGGCTGTGCCAGGTGCCGAGCTAGACACTTGACGTGGACTATTTAATTTACTCCTCACCACCCTAGGACACAGGCTCTGGGCTACGCCCACTGCACGGATCCAGGGAAGTTACGTTACTTGCCAGAGGTCTCCCCTCCGGGCAGTGGGGCGTGGCTGGGAGTGGACCCCCAGGTTCAGCCATCAGGTGAGCCTCTCACCAGCTCTGCCGCGCTGCCCCCAAGCTCCGATGTGAAAACCTCATTCATCTGTTCATTTTCTTTAATTACAATTTTTTTTTCTCTTTATTGATTTTAGAGAGAGAGGAAGGGAGAAGGAGAGAGAGAAACATTGATGAGAGAGAACATCGATTGGCCGCCTCCTGCATGCCCCCCGCTGGGGATCGGGCCCACAGCCTGGGCCTGTGCCCTGACCGGGAATCAAACCGGCGACCTCTTGGTGCGTGGGTCGACCCTCAGCCACCGAGCCACACCGGCTGGGCTCGTTTGTTCATTGTTATGGTTTTTTTAAACATTGAGGTGAACTTCAGTGGCATTAGTACCTTCATAACGTGCAGACGCTGTCTGTCAGGTTCCAGAACATTCTCATCGCCCGAAGGGAACCCCGGCTCCACGCAGCTGTGGCTTCCCGTTTGCCCCCTCCCGGCCCCTGGAAACAGCAAGCTGCGTTCTGTCCAGATTTACCTGTTCTGGGTATTCTGTGTAAAGGGAATCACTGATTTTCTGGCTGCATCGTTCACACATAGAACATTCAAAAGACATAAAACACTTGCAGTGACTAACGAGCCCCTCCCTGCGGTTCCATCGGGTGTCCTGAGTGTAATGAACATGTATCTGTGTCGGGTGAGAGTGGCGGCATGCTGTCACCTGCTCTGCCTCTGCCCCGAACAGTGTGTCTTGGGAGTTGTTCCATGTTGGCATGCGCTGAGTTGGCTCAGTGTCATCGCCGTGTGGATGTGCCCTGGGTCACGTAAGCAGCCCTCAGGGGTGGGGTTGCAGGGCCGGGGGCTGTGTGCCCATCAGATACTGCCTGTGGCTCTGCTCGGAGCTTGTGCCGGGGACGCACCGTGGAGGGGAGGGCCTGCCCCGTACCTGTGGTGGCGCGAGCTTCCTTCGCTCTGATGTGACCGGCTGTGTGGCAGGGAGAACGTGTCTGTCCTCTGAGCATCTGGCAGTCAGCTCTGGCCCAGCCCCACCATGGGACCTTGAGCGAACCCCACTCTCGTCCAGGACCCCTCATCTGGAGTATAAGAAGGCTGGGCCAGCTGAGGGGCTTGCTGCGCGGACACTTTCCCTTCCCTAGATCTGGTGTTATTAGAAGGATTTTGTCTGCCCGACACACTGCATTTGTTAAATAATGATGAAGCTGTACTTCTAAAAAGGAGAATGTCTGCAGATACAGGCTCTAGCCCGAGAGAGTCAGGGTGAGGTGATGGTCTCGGTCCGCTGATGTAATTCTAGCCAGAAGCAGAGCAGAGGGGGCGTTTGGTTGGGTTACGTAGGCCCCTCCCTGGGGCAGACACAGCTGTCCTCTGGGCACCTGACACGGTGGGGCGTCGGGAGTCCCCGAGCTCGTTAACAGTGAGGTCTGAAGACACCTCAGTTTCCAGTTATTGGTCAACTGGCCGCCAAGGACTCTTCTGGCACTTTCCATGGCCGTCTTTTTTTCTTTAAATAATTTTTCTGTATTGATTTTAGAGAGAGAGGAGAGGAGAGAGAGAAATAGAAACATCAGTGAGAGAGAACATCGACGGGCTGCCTTCTGCATGCTCCCCACTGAGGATTGGGCCCACAACCTGGGCATGTGCCCTGACCCGGAATCGGACCGGCGACCTCTTGGTGCAGGGTCCATGCTCAGCCACTGAGCCACACCGGCCGGGCCCATGGCCGTCTTTGTAGGTGTGTGACAATATTGTGTGTGTGCGTGTGTCCATCTTCTCCAGGATTCCTCTGTGGCCTCTTTGTGTCTTTCTGTCCATGGGAAAGAGTTAAGGACAAATTGGATGTGCAGGGAGAATGTGGCTGGGTGTCCGGCCTTCCCAGGCCTCCCTCTTGGAGGACGCCGCCCAGTGCCCTGTGGCTGGTTTCTGTTCAAACACCACTGTTTACACGCAGAGGAAGTGCGGAGGACATTGTGCCTTTTGTTCAATCTTTCCCGCCTTTTCCTCCACCGTGCTCATTTGTCTTCCTCACACGGGGCCTCTCCTCCCTTCCCAAGGAAAAAGGACAAACAAACCACTGTCCCAGGCTGGGTTCCCCAGGAAGCTGACTTTGACAGAGAGTCCAGCGTGCAGGGGTGTTCCCTGGGACCCCCACCTGTGGGGGGAGGGGAAGGAAGCGGGGGTGAGCAGAGGGGAGCGCCAGCTGCCACGCGGGCCTGCAAGCCTGAGCCGACTGTTACCCCCAGACACCAGGCCCGTCTGAACCCCAGCCCAGGGCTGAAGTGGGAGGCGGCGGAAGGTCGCTAGCCCTCTGGCTCGGCGGGTGGCTGGCGTGCCCAGGTGTGATTTCCTCGGAGCTCACCCAGATTCCTCTGGGGACACTGGGCCATGACGGGTCCAGGCACCCGTTGCCATGGGAACACATTTCTGACCCTCCTGGTGACGTGGAAGTGGCCTCCAGGACTCCAGTTCTGCCTGGCTAGCCCTGCAGGTGCATACCTGAGGTACGCGGACACCCAGCCCTTTAGACATTGGGTAACCCATGTGCATCTTTAGAAGACCAGGTAATCTTCCTCTCAGGATCAGAAGGACTTAAGTTTTTTAACTTTTTATTTTTTATTTTTTTTTCTTTATTGATTTTAGAGAGAGAGGAAAGGAGAGGGAAAGAGATAGAAACACTGATGAGAGAGACCATTGATTGACCGCCTCCTGCATGCCCCCCACTGGGGATCGGGCCCACAACCTGGGCATGTGCCCTGACTGGGAATTAACCAGCGACCTCTGGGTGCATGGGTTGGCTCAACCACTGCGCCACAGCAGCCGGGCTAACTTTTCATTAATGTATAATAGACACATCTTGTAGATGCTTACAAAGTAGATACATCCACATTACCTGCACCCAGATCATGACCCAGAACACGGCCACCCAAGAAACCCCCCCTGCCTCTGTCCTCTTACATCACCACCGCCCTTAAAAGATAACCATGTGTGGCTTCTGACACCAAACGTGTTT